ACAATAAATACATTTGATTTCACTCTGTCGCATTGACTATGGCCTTGTGGCATTAACCAATGCCACACCCACTGATGTACCATTGGAATATGAAAAAATTACAGAAATCTCACATTTAAGTTCTCTTAATTAGTTTTATAGATTCTCAAAATTCATCATATTCGAGCATCAGAATAATGTATCATCACATCACATTAATGTATCTCGCGCATCAGATTAATGTATCTCGTGTATCAGATTAGTGTATCATGTATAAAATGTACATCAGATTAGTGTATCATGTATAAAATAATGTATCTTGCTTAACGATTAATGTATCTCGCGCATCAAATTAATATATCAACGCTTTTATTATTGTATCAGTTTGAGGGATTTCTGTACTTATAAACTTATAAGGGACAAATGGTAATTTTGCCTTAAAAGTATGTGATTTGTGTCATTTGCCCTTGAAATATTGTGATAGTCCAAGCTATTAACGATATTATTCGTTTTGGGCCTAGTCCTATACAACTTCAGAAGTATAAATATTTCAAAGATCACTTAATTATAAGAAATTATATAGCCAAATCATTAAACTTAATTTTATATCAATAAAGTCATTCAACATAAAAAAAAATTCCTTAAAAAATCACTCAACTAAATTTGTTATGAAAAAAGGACAAGTTTCACATATAGCAATACAAAATTCATATTTGTATGTTATAGAAAAATTTGCATAATTGTGCTCCATGGCAAACATATATATGTATAATTCGCTATACATTTACAATTGAAGCGAATTGTATAAAACGAGAAAGAGAGCAATTATATACAATTTGAATTTATATAAAACGAGAAAGAGAGAAAGTCAAAAAAATTTGGGCATGAAAATATTTGTATTGTATAATTATAAGACATGATGATTACATACAATTTGAATTTGTATAAAATGAGAAAGAGAGAAAGACAAAAGAGACTTGGGCAGAGAATATACAATTGAATGGAATTGTATAAAACGAGAAAGAGAGAAATTATATACAATTTGAATTTGTATAAAATGAGAAAGAGAGAAAGGCAAAAGAAGCTGGTCATGAGAGTATTTTTATTGTATAATTATAAGTGTATAGGACGAAAATATATGTATTTGCATGTGCATATACAATTTTCTCTCACTTTTACAAAATAGAAACAAAATTTATATATTTTATTTCTTTTTTTGTATAAGCGAGAGAAGAGGGTGACGAGAGAGATTAGGGAGAGTGGCGAGCGAGATCTGGGAGAGGCGAGCCAGGGGAACAAAAATATATGTACTTATACAAATTTCCTCTCGCTTTATAGAAACACAAACACATTTTTATACATTTGTGTTTGTATAAAAAGCGAGAGAGGCGAGCAAGACTGCCACCAAACGAGAGTGGCGAGTGAGATTCCACCAAGAAAAGTGGCGAAAATAGTTATAGTTTGCTATAGGGTACAATTAAATCAAAGTATATTTATAGCATTTAATTTGAATTAATAGTTTGCTATTATATACAATTTTTTCATGAAAAAACTCGCTTTACCATTAACATTTTGCATTTAAAAATGGGAGAAGGCACAACTACCCTTAGACCAGATCGAAATTTCAAAGACACAACTTAACTAAACTAAGGTTCTATTACTTGTGAACTCATTTTATATAGGAAAAATTACGCAACAAAGCAAACTTATACTATTTAATTACTCATCATAGCTATAGTTTTGCTATAATTACCATTCGCGACTAACATTATACATTAATTACGTGGACTGATTTCGAGTTTGTATAATTAGTCACATTTGTATATGTACAACATATAATTATTTAACCTATATACATATACAATTCACCTCTCTCACACTCTCTGCCCTCTCTCGCTCACCTCTCTCCTCCCTCTCCCAATCTCGCTCGCCTCTCTCATTCCTCTCTCAATCTCGCTTGTCCTATATACAAATGCATATGTATCATATACAATTATATACATATACAATTCACCTCTCTCCCACTCTTTATCCTCTCTCGCTTGCCTCTCTCTTCGCTTTCTCAATCTCGCTTGCCTCTCTCCTCTCTTTCCCAATCCGCTTGCCTCTCTCCTCTCTTTCTCAATTTCGCTTGCCTGTCTCCTCTCTCTTACAGTCTCACTCGCCTCTATCCTCTCTCTCTCCCAGTCTCGATCTCCTCTCTCCGCCATATAACATGTAGCAACAAAATGTAATTGTGAAACTATAGCTATGGAGAGTAATAGACTATTTTTAAGTGGCTATATGTGAAAGTTTCCCTTTTATATATAATATTGTACACCTTTTGACTTATTTGGTACACTCTGTGACTCCACGCCGTTGATGTGTGTAGGAGATGTTTTGATGCTACATAAGCTAAAAAGGTGTACAAATACTTCCACTTTTTCCCTTTAAAAATCAATGCCCCTTCACATTTTGAATGAGACGATACTTCCTTTCTATTTAAAATCAACGACTCTAAATGAATTTAATTTATTTCATACATTTTTAAACGTAAAATATGATCCTCAAGTTAAATAATAGTACAAGAAATGTATCAACATTATTTTCTAATCTCAAGGCTATGAGGCTTGAAAATAACCTCTCCCTACCCCTCTAGACTATGATCGAAATCACAAACACACCTTAGCTAAACTAAGATTCTATTACCCCCTGAACTAATTTTATATATAATTTTGTACACCTTTTGACTTATGTGGCACACCCCGTGACTCCACACAGTTGAGACGCATAGGAGATATTTCAATGTCACGTAAGTCAAAAAGGTGTATAAAATTACAAAAAAAATTGAGTTCGAGAAATAATAAGACCTTAGTTTGATCAAAATGTAGCTCTAAAATTTGGATCATAGTCTAGGAAGATACTTCTATCTTTTCCCTAGTAGAATTATGAAAAAATTATATTAATGACCAAACGAATTCACAGTAAGTTGGACTTCTTTGTTTGCATTGTTAATTAAATTCAGATATGAAGGACACTGTTTCTCAAACTCAAATGCTAAAAATGTAAATTGTGATTTTATTAAAATAAATTTGATCTAGTAATTTTACAACATATGACTTTAAGTTCAGTGATTTTATTGATACAAAATAAACTTTAATGATTATTGTATATAATTTTTCATAATTAAATGATCTTTTTGAGATATTTATTCACTTTAAAACGTTTCTCAAACTCAAATAATAAGGAGGTAAAGTGAGATATATATAAGGTTTACTTTCTTTTTTTTATACACTTCAATACGATCTCCCCGCATGTATTTTGTAGATGTAAGACTCATCCAAGCGTCGCATATACCCCTTGGTTGGGACCTCAACCGCGAGTAATATTGTCCGTTTTGAACTGATGTCCTCAAGTCTTTAAAATGTGTCACAATAATTAGGGATGTGCATTATTCAGTTCGATTTATTGAATTTCGATTTTTAAATATGCTAAAATAACAAGAATATTTTTTTATCGATTTTTGACCATAACAGTTCAATTTCTGATTTACCCAATATAAAAGTGCTCACTTAAATAGGTTTTAACTAGATTACAGAAGAGGAATTAAAAGGAATAAGCTATGTTGAAAATGAGTAGATTTCACCAATAAGGGTTGTCATGGAGTGGTAAATACTCTTTCATTCTTAATCAAGAGGTCTCAGGTTCGCGTCTCCTTGGGTATGAAGTCGCCTATTTTAGGGAGCGCTTTATCCCTAATATGGGACTTCTCGGTGCGAATTCAAATTTATAATCAAACTCTAATACTGTTACTAAACACCGAATAAAAGACTAAAAAATATAAAAATGAATATATTTTTATATTTCTTCCCTTTTCTTTTTTCTTACAGGAAAAAAAGAGCCCTTTGTCAACCATATGGTATCATTTTCTTAAAATAATAATGAAACACAAAGCAAAAATTTATTGATAAGGGAAAAAATTTAATTTAACTTTTGATATTTTGTATAATGTTAAATTGTAATTTTAATTTCGATGAAATATGAATTAAATACTAAAAAAAATAGTTATTAGTACTATTCTTTGATTTCCATTTTGATATAAAATTTGTTTTTTTCTTTAGATTTTATAAGTATGGTGGTCGTTCTTTTCTAACTTTAAAAAGCATTTTATCAAAAAAAAATTGTATAGAGAAAACTTATAGTAATTTCTCCGTTTTAAAAAGAATGTTCCTATTTCCTTTTTAATTTGCTTAAAAAAGAATGACCTCTTTCCTTTTTTGGAAAACACTTTAACTTTAACTTTCCACGAAACATGTTTAACACCACAAGATTAAAGGATATTTTGGTACATTTGACATAACTTTAATTTAGAACCATAACATTAAAAATTTTTCTTTCTTTTTTTAAGTTCCATTTCAAATTAAGCTAGGTCATCACTTTTAAAACGGAGAGAGTATTTGTTTGTATGGTTGTTATTAGGGGCGGAATTAGAGGAAATTGAAAGTGTTCACTCTAACCCCACTTGGCAAATGTTAAATTATTGGTTTAGGAGTTCTAAATTCACCTTCTAAGTTCAAATCTCAAAACACTGTTTTTTATTTCTAAACCTCCTTAATGAATCTTATGAATCGTCCATTAATTATTACGTATTATTTCATAACGTATCATATTGTATAATATTATAGTATATCATAGAATAAATAACAATATTTGAACAAATTATACCATTTTCTATCATTACATAACGCCATACATCAATAATTTAAAAGACAAACAAAAAAAATTGACTACACAATAAAGTTATTAAAAAGGATAAAATAATTAATAAAATAAAATATTAAAATAACTTTATAATCAAAATCGATCATTACATAAAATAAATTTTTTCTATGTTATCTAACATAAATTTAATAATACAATTTTTTTTATATAAATAAATAACAACTAACCCAATAAGGTGATAACGCAATTAACTACGTTAAACTTTCACCTCGTCGATGAAAAATTACTTTCCTATTTATAATTAAAAAGAAAAAAAAACTGCAAATTCATTTGGTAGCCATCCTTCAGACAACGCGTGTTGGAGAGCAGTGTTGTCATCATAGTCATTTTTTACCCTGTCCTAATTTCTCTTCTTCATCCATTGCCCATCTGAAGCTCCCAATTTTCAATTTTTTTTCATTAAATTTTACAAGGTGACTCTTATTCTATGCTTTTTTTGGAATTTTTTCTTGTAAAATATATGTATTTTTTCTTTAATTTTACCTGCTAGTTTTTTTTCTTGATCTTGTGTCTATTTTGTTCAATTTTTCTTATTATTCAGTATTAGAGGGGGGAAAATGAAAAGGGTATTTGGGAATGATAATCGTTTTCAAAAGAACAGAAAACCCCCAAAAGTTATTGAGTATTAGAGAATGAATTGGGGGAGGGGGGGGGGGGATTTAGAAGATTTATGTAGCTGAATCCAATTTTTGTGGGATTTTTGTTTGTTTGTTGTGGTACTACTGCTGTTGTGAGTTTGCTGGGTGACAGTAGGAATGGTTTAATATCAGTTTTGTTCTTTGTTTATGATCTTGGTATGATTTTTATGATGAAATTATGTTTGCTCTTTTGGGAAAAAGTTGGGTTTTTTCTTTTTGCTTGGTGGTTTAGATATTTGAGGGAGGGATAAACTATAAAGATTCTATCTTGGTGTTGTGTTGGATTATTTAGTTAAAGAAGCCAAGTTGAAAGCTTGGATGGATTAGAAATGGATGGATTAGAAATGGGCGTCTTTAGTATTGTCTGAACTCATTGCTAAATGAAACATTTCGTAAACTATAAAGTTTCTGTCTTGGAGTTCTATTGGATTTTTTTTTTGTTAAAGAAGCCACATTGAGAGTTTGGGTGGACTGGAAAATGTTGTGTTTAGTATTGTCTGAACTCACTGCTAAATGAAACATTTCTTGAACTATTAAGTTTCTGTCTTGGAGTTCTATTGGGTTTGTTAAGGAAGCCACATTGAAAGTTGGGGTGGCCTCAAAATGGTGTCTTTGGTATTGTCTAAACTCACTGCTAAATGAAACATTTCGTAAACTATAATCTTGGAGTTCTATAGGATTTGTTAAAGAAGCCAAATTGAAAGTTTAGGTGGACTAGAAATGGTGTCTCTATTATTGTCTGAACTCACTGCCAAATGAAACATTTCGTAAACTATAAAGTTTCTGTCTTGGAGCTCTATTGGATTCATTAAAGAAACCAAATTGAAGTTGGGGTGGACTAAAAATGTTATCTTTAATATTGTCTGACCTCACTGCTAAATAAAACATTTTGTGAAGTATAAAGTTTCTGTTTTGGAGTTCTATTGAATTATTAAAGAAGAGAAATTGAAAGTTTGGGCGGACTAGAATTGGTGTGTTTAGTATTGTCTGAATTCATTGCTAAATGAAACATTTTGTAAACTATAAAGTTCCTGTCGTGGAGTTCTATTGGATTCATTAAAGAAGCCAAATTGAAGTAGAAAAAAGAAGAGAAATTGAAAGTTTGGAAGGACTAGATTTGGTGACTTTAGCACTGTCTGAATTCATTGCTAAATGAAACATAAACTATAAAGATTCTTTTCTATAGGATTTGTTAAAGAACCCAAATTGAAAGTTTGGGTGGACTAGAACTGGTGTCTTTAGCATTGTCTGAACTCACTGCCACATGAAACATTTCGTAAACTATTGTCTTGGAGTTCTACTGGATTTGTCAAAGAAGCCAAATTGGAAGTTGCGGTGGGCTCGAAATGGTGCATTTAGTATTGTCTGAACTCACTGCTTAATGAAACATTTCGTAAACTATAAAGTTTCTGCCTTGGAGTTCTATTCGATTCGTTAAAGAAGCCAAATTTGAAGTTGGGGTGGGCTCAAAGTGCTCTCTTTAGTATTGTCTGAACTCACTGCAAAAAGAAACCTTCTTTACTTCTTGATGTAGTGTATATGAATTCTTTTGATTTTATCTAAAAGAAAGGAAGATATTTTTAGTTTCTTCACTTGGTTATGCAACTGGTTGATTTGGCAATGAATTGGTGTGCTCTCGTAGTGTCTTTTGCTAAGAGTTTCTCTGGAACTGTAGTATAAATATGTCTTATAGATTCAAAGGCATGATTCAGGTCTGCATACATCCTACACTCCTCAGACCCACTTGTAAATTACACTGGGTATGTTGTTGCTTTGATTCACAGTATGAATTTCTGAAATTTGATGTCAAAGAAACACTGATAGAAGTTGCGTATAAGAGGCATTATCTTGTTGGTGTAGTTTCCCTTCTTTTTTTCTTACCTAGTTCCTATGTGCAAATTTTCTGTTTTCTCTAGGGAGAATTTGTAACTTTTTTCTTCTCATCTTACAGCAAAATTCATGCATTGTATGTCTGTTAACATTTATGCATTGTATGTCTGTTATAGATTGTGTTTTCTATTTTGATGACTTAAGTTGGTAGTGCATTGCGCTGCAATGAACTTGTTCATGCATTTATGATGCATTATCTGAATATCAAGAACTGTGTTGTGGTGATTGAAGTTACGAGTTGTTTGGTTAGAAGGAAATGGAAAGGAAGGAATGTAGCAGGTGACAAAGATAGTACAGGTTTAGTCAAAATTACTGTCTTATTCGTTATTTCTTTTAATCAACACCTTAGTCTTCTGATATGGTCTTAGTGAGATTCTTTCGTTCAACTGTGCTGTACTTGCTGATACTAACTAGTATTGTAGATCTTTATTAATGAACTAAGTTCCTAATTTGAATTTACCAACACAGGTAATGGCAGTTGAGGAAGATATTGATCTTTCAGATTTGAAGTACCAACTGAGCCAAACACATGTTAGTTGGAAGCAAGAGATGGAGGAAAGCCAGTCCCAAGTTGATGCCTTGCAAGCAAAACTATTAGACGTAAAAACTTGTATTCAGGGGTCAGAAGAAGATACAAAGAAAGAGTTAAATGTTCTTTGGAGCAGAGTCAGAACTGCTGCAACATTAATGATGTATTTGAAAACTAAAGCCAGAGTCATGTCTGTTCCTGATTTGGCCTCTACGTCATGCGGTATAAAAGAACTATATGGAGTAGGGCTTATAGATAAAAATGGTGTACCATTGTCCAGTTGGTCAAGGGACATAGATCTCTCGTCTTTTGATGATGCTGATGATGCAGCATTGATTAGACTTACAAGTACACAAGATTCTTTTGATGAACAAGATGGATCTTATAGGAGCGAATTACTCAGAAGTGCACAATTGGTTACATATGTTATGGAAAATCTTGTCAAGAGGGTTATAATGGCTGAATCTGAAACTGCTTTAGAAAAGGAGAAGGTAACAATAGGTCAGGAAGAGATTCAAAGAAGAGCACTTCAGATTGAAAACATGTCTACTAAGTTAGAAGAGATGGAAAGGTTTGCTTTTGGTACAAATTGTATCTTGAATGAGATGCGCCAGAGAGTTGAAGATTTGGTCGAAGAAACTTCTAGACAGAGACAGCGAGCTGCAGAAAATGAGCAGGAGCTTTGTTGTGTTAAGAGAGACTTCGAATCTCTGAAATCCTATGTCAGTGGTCTCATTAGTGTCAGAGAAACTCTTCTGTCATCAGAAAAACAATTCCAGACAATTGAAAAGCTTTTTGAACGGTCAGTGTATCTCTTTCGCTGGTGAACAGAATTTCTGTTTTTATATAATGATGATATAGCTGTTTATTTATGTTCTCTGAGTAATAATGGTCGGTGTGCCTGTGATGTCAGAAGAGACTACTGCATAATATGTTGCTTGATGATATGTCTTAATACTTGCAATGCAGTTTACCAAGAGTATATATCTTTCTATATCTTATAGCACACCTTTCTGAGTCAATAGGGTTAGAATCTAGTTATGCACCCGACATTATACACATGTTTTCTAATCAATTTATTAATTCATTTGAGACTTTGAGTTTATGTATAACCATTTTTTCCAGCTATATTCTCCACGACACCAGAATGTTATCTGGTGTAGTGGGTTATAATTAATTTGCAATGTCTTTATGTACAAAAACGATATAAAATGAAATGGATCACTTGAATTAAGAATGAGGAATCATCATTTTTTTAGTGCAAAGGTTTTAAGGTTGAATAAAGACTAGCGTTATGACATGTCCTAGGGTACAAAACTTGGAACAAGAAGGGGTGGTGCAGGTTTGTAAAATCTCTTCTTTGATCCATTTGTAAAAGCACAGAACTAATGAAACTATGAAAGTAGTGATGAATCATCTTTTACAATTCTTTTAAGAATGGTAAGATTTTATAAGCCTTACTTGTGGGATTACATCAGGTATGTTGTTGTTGTTGATAAGATTTTATAAACAGAAACAGTGAAGCACAAAGTTTGTGCGGAATAAGTTCCTTTACATCACTCTAGGAAGTTCAGAAAGTCTTAACATTTTATCTGCTGTGTGCTGACTGCTGATCTTCTAGTCTACACCTAAAAGTCTAAAACCAAAAAAGATACACATTTATATTTCAATTTATGTATATTTTCATATTTGCTTTCAAAACATAGTCGATTTCTTTCTTTCCAAATCACCCACCATATGCATGAAGGAATGGTCTCCTAGATTTTCTTCCCAATACCCTTACCATTCAAACAATGCAGCATTTGTTTGATAGTCCTAGGCATCACCCAGCTTAACTTGATAAATGTTAAAAAACAGATTCCACGTTTGAGTTGTGATGCTACAATGCAGAAATACATGATTAGCATCGCTATTCTTTTTCATACTGTATACATCTACTATAAATAGGTATGGCCCTTCCCTATGAGGCTGTTGTGTAAGAAGTGCTTTGAATGTGAGAGTCTAACAAAAACATGTCACCTTGTATTGGAGGTCAATAGGAAGTAGCTGCTGACGGAGAAGGTACCTTTACTTAGTGGAACCCATACTAGCCAGTCAACTACCATTTCCTACTGGCGTTCAAAAGGCGCCGTAAGCGCTAACCTCGCCTCTAATACAACATACTTCTAATCCACTTCATAAAAGAAGAAGAAGAAGATAACCTATCCACTTCCACAGTCATTGGAATTTCTCCTGAAACTTAACTCCCACCAGTACTAGATCTACATTGTATGATAGTATGATGGGTATGCCTCACTTAATTATGAAGATCTGGAAATAATTCCTTTAGAGGGGAGTGTTATGCGTCATGCCAAAAAAGAGTGTTGCCACCATTACCTACCATAATCCGTGTTTCTAACAAGGTCATCCCAAAAACTTATTATATGCTTCCAAACACTGTGCTGAGGTAGTAATTTTGGTACTCCAGTTATGCTCTCTTCCGTACTTTTTGGTAACCACCACTTCCCATAATGCTCCTTCATTTTGATTGAATCTCCATAACCACTTGAAGAGTAAGCCCCTATTCTGGTATCTATGATTTCTCACCCCCATTCCCCTTGCTTCTTGTTCAACTTGACTATCCTCCAATCAAATAGGTGAAATTCTTTTTCTCCTCCAGAGAAACTCACTTCTTAGAGTATCTTGTCTATTTTCCACCTTGGCAGGCATTGGAGAAAGAGACATTGTATGTGTAGGAAATGAGTCCAAAATAATATTAAGCCAACCTGCCTCCCAAAGATAAGTATGGTCTTTTCCATATTGTTGAAGCTTTGAATATTTTTTTGAAATGGTTAACATCACTGAAGCTTTGTAATTTGACACCTAAAGGAAGTTCCATATATACTGTTGGCAAGCTCCCACTATTACGCTAAAGTATTGCGGCCAACTCTGTAAATTCTGTACTACATTTACTGGAACCAAGTGACTCTTAATGTGAAGACCTGACACTCCTTCATCAGCCTCAGGAACTGAGCCCCTTCTGCCTCACATAGAACTGAGGTATCATCGGTATGCATGATGTGGGTGATAAAATTGTCTGTTTGGCACCTAATATCTGAAGCCCTGAACCCACCTTGTTTGTTCTTCCACCTTTAGCATACTACTGAAACACTCCATGACAGGATAAAAAGAAAGGGGCATACTCAAATGACACTATCCCCCTAATTGATGTACTAGACTCAATTTAGGTTCAGATAGCTGGATTTGATGATCTTATTGTAAATATGGCTCAGTGTTGCCTATGTACTGGTTGTAGTAATATACAATGTTACCCGTTTAAAAAAAAAAGGGCCTTCTGGGCTTCCATTGATAATCAGAGAAAATCCCACAGTTGGAATACTCACTTCGATCCATTTTATCCGCTTATTACCAAATCCCAAAGCCTTTAAAAGATTAAATAGGAACTCCCAGTTAACATGATCATATTTCTTTAGTCTAACTTGCAGATGACTCCAGGCTTCCCTTGTTTCTGTCTGGTGTCTGAGATTTCCTTGGTAATTAACCCGACATCCATGATTTGCCTTCTTTGATGGAAGTCATTTGAGTATAACCAACAAGCTTTGCAAGTCATTTGAGTATAACCAACAAGCTTTGCCAATGACTCTCTTCAATCTTTCAGTAAGGTGTGTGGCAATAATCTTGTCGAAGCTCCTGATTAAACTAATTGGTCCAAAGTCCCACCAATCTTCTGTTTTTGCTTTCTTAGGAATAAGAGCAATAAAAGAAGCACTAAAGAAGTTCTTCTCTAACTTCTCAGTATGATAAAAGTGAAATAAAGCCACCATTATGTCTTCCATGATAATTAACCAACATTTTTGATAGAATGCCTTAAAAAATCAATCGTTCCAGGAGTCTCATCTCCTGCCAACTACTAATAACATTATAAACTTCTTCCTCAGTAAACGTACCCTGAAGAAAGTCGTCCTGCACTAACAGGTGAGGAAGGTTGTCTCGTTGAAATCCCAGGTCTCCACCTTCCAAGACAGACTTGGTGGAAGTCCTTCAGTAAAGTAACTGCTTCGAAAATGTCCAACACCAATCTCGACACTTATAATTTGTCAGATGATCTGGTTTATTCACTACTTTAATCTGGATGTACTTGGTTTACTGGGCAAAGAGTTCCCTTTCTCCCTTACAGACCAAGAGAAGAATTATTTAAGCCAGATATAAACTCAAACGGTGAAATATAAAATTCAGCAGTGTTCTAAAATCGGGCTACCTGCTCTTACAACTGTCTACGGTGGGCTTCTCTTAAATTCGGGTTTGCTAATCATGATAATAGTGTTATAAATCTCATACTAATAGATGCACCATAACAGATGTCTGAGCACATCTAGTGGCTTATACTTGGAATCTCTTCTCCAGAATATAAATGTCTTGGGAGTTGGGACATAGATATTCGAGATACTTCCTTCTATTATGAATCGCCTTAAATTTCCAGTAGATTCATTCCGTAGCTTGCTTTGTTGCAGCAAGATGATCAGTCCGAGGGGTCGTTTGGTACAAAACAAGGTTATCCCATGATTATGATTCCACTTCCTTTATGAGATAGATAACACCAAGATTCTTGTATAAAATTTATATAAGTGTTAGCTAATACCAATAACCAAACGGTGGACAAATGCAACCGGGATTAGTATAGTAATCCCGATAACCAAGCGACCCTTTAGAAAATATTCTTTATACAGATGGAGTTGTGGTTATTGCAAGAACTACAATTGTAGAAGTTTGTCTTATATGTCGTTTACATGAAAGAGTGTAGTATAGTAATTAAAACAGACGGTAAAGTCCTGTATCTGCGATTTTTTTGGTACTCAGTTTATTTTATGTGAACCAGGTTAGCTGCAAAGACAACTCAATTGGAGAGTGAGAAAATGCAGAAAGAAGTTCAAGTCCAAAAGCTTATAGAAGAAAATGTGAAGTTGACAACTCTTCTTGACAAGAAAGAAGCACAACTCTTAGCCATGAATGAACAATGCAAGGTTATGGCACTTAGTGCTTCTAATATTTAAATTCTCTGAGATTTTTCTATTCAATGAATGCATCTTTGAGAGGAATATGCACCTATAGTTGTATTGTTGTATTTGCTCATTAGGTGGAGTGAAGTAATTCAACTATCCAGATGAACTTTGTTCTTCAATTTAATGTTGAGTTGTGCTGCACCGTCTTCGTGCATCGTCTTTTGTTTCTGTGCAACGACCTCACTCCTAAACAAGTTGGAGTTGGCTATATGAATCCTCGTTTCTTCTTTTATCTCTTGTGATTTTAGTTCATAATGTTCTGCTCCTAGCTAAGGAGCAAGGACAATGACTAGCTAGCTATTTTGTGTGATCACTTCACTACACCAAAAATGATCTTACCGGCAATAGCTTAATTGTTGCTAAATATGTATCTTTAGTGACAGTCACCACTCTTTGTAAATGTTTCTAAAACTTACAACGATATTGGATCTAATGACGATTAATTAATATTGGTAAAAATTTTAGCACTCTTTGTTAACGTGTGTATATTTATTGCTACTAAAAGTTATTTTTGCAGTAGTAGTTGCAGCATGGTTTGTCCTTGTTGAAGAAAATCTCTGTCGAATAATGAGTTCTCGATAGAGGTAAAATTTAGGATCTAGAGTCTGTGAGTTCAGGGTGAGTGTGATCCTGTTATATGCATAAGTTTTGAATATATATATCTGACAAGTATCAAATTTGAATCCATTATTCTAGAGTAAAATGTGTTCAATGCTAAATCCTAGTTCGACTTTTAACTTGCATGAGGCATTCTCTATATGTTCAAATTGATAAATATAAGATTTAAATTAAAATTACTAATCTCGATTGGTCAACCGTAAGCTATACATACACTAGCTCAGCCTTTGGCTTACATTATACATTATTGGATACGATACGAGATGCTTCATGCACCGTGCTACTATCAATTTTTTTTAATTGTAGCATTAGTTGCATGTTGTAATGTTGGAATGCTCCTTTTAATTAAAAGGTACAAAAAGCTCAATCTAGCTAAGCTGGGGAGGTTTGTTGGTCATGATGGATCTAAACATAGAAGGTTAATTAGAGTACATGAATACATGCTAAATAATAAAATGTTATCAAATAAATAAAAAAGAACATGTGATGTTTTCTTGTACATGAACAAACTCATTTTAGAAAAGGAAAAATAAGTACATTCATCTCCTTTTTTATCACCACATCACTGTCAAAATTAATCTCCCATGACCTGCATAACACTATAGTCCTTTTCATCTTTGATCCCTATGTTGTGGATAAGGTAAACCATGTTTTCTTTTTCTAGACAAAATCAAATCGAGATGGATTCAAAATTTAAATAGTAGGAGTCGTTTTGTCGCTGATCAGAGTTGTGCATGCATGTATAAGTAATGTAGGGATTAATTATGACTTATGAGTGAAAACTATGTATTATTTAACGCAAGCATTATTTATGCGCAGAGATAAGTTTTATTTGTTCCACTGGCTATATATTCTCAACAAATTAATAAATAGATTTTCTCATAACTTATATATGTATTAGTTATGCGTATTTGAAATTCCTAAATTGTGAACCAAACATTATATTGATTTTATACATGAACAACTTATTTCAATCTACCTACCAAATGTCGTATAAGATCTTATCCAACTACGGGTTCAACATCAGGATTCTATATAATTTATTTGATTTACTTTGTTAAATTCTATTATATGTACTTATTTCGTGACTATTCTTAACACATGAAGTATTGTTTGATAGAGTGTTTTAGCAAAAATAATACTTATACTAATTTTATGTATTAGTAATACCTTATTTGGTACAGTTGTTCATCTTTTATATAATCAATGCTTGTATTAGTTATACAATCTATTGTGTATTACTAATACTATAAATTTCTAGGTACTAGTAATGCAAGGGGTTTATCGTACGCATTAGCATGCTTAAAGACCCTATTGCCCCTCATTTTTTTTACATTTTTCCCACCATAATTATGAAGGGTATTTTTGTAAGTAAATATTTTTATGTAATGCATGTTATTTTTAATACACCAAATCTAACCGTGCATAAGAAATTATCTATGTATAATCAATGCAAATATTACTAATACAAATATTACGACTACACTTATTTTATTTTTGTTTCTCACATGATGTTTGGAGCTCCAATACTAAATTCGGACCATATTCTGCAGGGCTCATTCAAGGTTGACGCTCTCAACATGATTTTCTTCATACTCAGGGCTCAAACTCGAGATCTCTGATTAAGAATGAAACACTCCCATCAGTGCACCACAATCAATGTTGGTTAGTACACTCTATTTAATGCGCTCTATCAAACAATCTGGAATAGAGTTTGAGCAAAAACCACTGAATTCGTATGCATATGACTTTGAATTTCCATTGGTTGCATTGTTGTACTCTTGACATTATTGTTTTGGAAACAAAGTACGTAATGGTCCATCTTTCTCCCTTCTAATTAATTTGGTGTTTTTCACATTAGCTGTGGTCTAGTTGTTTTATGTCAAAATTGTCTAAAAGTGCCTACAATCTAGGAGGAATTTAGGGTTCCTAATGTGTGAATTATTATTGAGAATGTAACATGAGTCTGCTTGGTTCTTTGTATCTAGTTTTGATGAAGTAATTATATTTTGATTTATTTCTATTTTTTTTTCATCAAGAGTTTCGTAATTGGACTTTAAACCCCTTTTATATGTCGGGAGTTATTAGTGTACGTACCGAGCTTTGATTTGCTATGGTGCTATCGTAGAAAATACTATACTAGAAGATGGTTCTGAAGCAAATATATTTCGTGCTTTTAACCCAATTTAAGCCGAAAGAACTTATTCTATGGTCACTACTAACTACTTTTGCTTAATGTACTTATTTCATAACTGTTCTTAACACAAAAATAGAATTTGAACTAAAATTACCGAATTTACGTACATATGACTTAGAATTCCCATTTGTTACATTGTTGTGTTCTTAAAATTTATGTCCATGTCTTAGTTTATGACTTGTTCATTTAGTTCACATTATTGTTTTTGGGAAGAAATTAAAGTAATATGGTCCATCTTTTTCACTTCTAATTAATTTTGGTGTGTTCATGTCCATTGTCTAAAAGTGCCTATAATCTTGGAGGAATTCAGAATTTATGATTAGTGAAATATTATTGAGAATGTAACATGAGTGTGCTTGGTTCTTTGCATCTAGTTTTGATGTAGCAGTTATATTTCGATTTATCTTTTATTTAAGGACTTCATAATTGGATTTTGATCTTCTGACAGTGTATTGGGCATTATTTTGCTATGCATCATTTTTTTTATGACGAGAAATTTGTAGTCGTTGTCCTTCTGGTGCGCACAGGGTAAAACTTTTACTCCTATGCAATAGATCGCAAACCATATAGGAGAGGTAACCCGCACTAGGTAAGCCCGATGTGACGAGCTCGACCGAGAAGGCAAACTCCTTACTTTCGCTGGCAAGGGATTTCGAACTTGAGACCTTTAACATGGAAGTCCCAAGCCTAACCCCTCCTATTCTATGCATCATTAATAATGCTATCATGGAAAATACTTTATTTGAATATGGTGATGGTACAAATAGATTTCGTACTTTTAATCCAACTTTAGCCGAAGAACTTATTTTACTAGTCACTGCTAACGCCTAACTGCTTTAGGTTTCAAATCTTTGAGATTTCTTTTTTCAATAAACGTTGGAAATGGTTACGTACATTTTTATTTATGGATGAGTGCTCTTGCCATGGCAGAGCCACCTTGTCCATGGTGTCTTTGTCGAAAAATTATGTGATATATACACGTAAAGTTTATATATATATATATATATATATATATATTTTTTTTTTTTTTAAAAAAAAGTAACCCGTAGTGGAGATGGTTGTCGCGAACCCACATTTTGCCCTAGTTTGATTCCCGCATGAGCGTTTCATTTTTTCATAATTATTTTGCCTTCTTGAAGTTTGTAAATAAATAAACTCGAGTAAGTTTAACATAAGTGTTCAAATTCTTTTTCAGTTAAAATTGAATTATTTCGTTAAATTTTAATATATTTTTTTTCAATTAAAATTAAATTATTTTCTTAAATTTTAATACATATGTCTTGTGAAATAAGATTTCCTTATATTTTAATATCTTTTTCCTTTGTGGAATAAGATTTTCTTAAAATTCAATACATTTTCCTTATGAAATAAGATTTTAATTGAAAAAAAATCTTAAAAATTTTAATATCTTTTCTTTGTGGAATAAGATTTTCTTATATTTTAATATCTTTTTTCTTTTGTGGAATAAGATTTTTTTTAATTCTAATACGTTTCCTTTCTCTATAAATAGAGATCAATTTACCCAAATTATATTACAATATTATTAGAAATAAAATCTCTATAAATCATTATTCTTTTTTTTTAAAAAAATCTATTCAAAATTTGAATTCCCTTGATAAAATTACTTACTATGTACTGGCTCTTACCGTGATCGATCTAGCTTTGAACCTACATACCTAAGACTTTTTGCTTAGCCAAGTCCTTAGCCCTTAGGATCTAGAGTGGATACCAAGACATCCAAAAACACACCATACAATTACATGAAGCTTCAAATCATACGATAACACATTAAAAAGAGGTTACTGTTGGGATCGAATTCACGCACACACACTTAATGAATGAAAAACACAAGAACTTTCAAGAGAAAGAGATGAGAGATCTAGACTGAGAAAGAGAGAACCAATATTTTGTGGTAACACCTCGTGAGTAAACTTTCACGGTGGTGGGGTATATATATATATATTAATAAATCAGAGTATTTTTGGTTACAGAGAATAAATAGTACAACCTAAATTTAGGTCGTGGCGCTGCATCGAACCCCCCCCCCCCCCCGGATGGGGGGCTCCCGCCCTCCATAACCCTCTGGCAACCTCACCGCGGAGGTTAAACCGTGTAAACATTAATATATAACAGTACATCAAATATTAATCAGGCTCCACAACCTAACAGTTATTATATAAAAGATGTCACTTAAATTAGAGCGGAAAGAATAATATACATTTATATTAAATTTGCATCTATATTAATGGTATAGCAGCACCCCTTGATGACCTAATTATAAATTTTGAATTGATCAATAGCTTTGTATGTTCACGTGCTTATTATAAAATAAAATTAAAAAAATCTACTCAAAGAAAATGCCATTTGTGTGTTCCATATTAATTTTACAAGTCCTTGGGTCCTAGTGTGATCCATTCTCATTCATAGAACATGGGAGGGTGCACCCCACTCCATTAATCATTTTTGTTGACCTTTATTTACACTTTTTGAGGGTTATTTGTGTTCTTTTTGTTATGTGGTGAAAGGATAATATTTGATCAATCATATTTATCTAAGTCAGGGTTTAATCATAAATTTTGATTATCTTTAAAATATAATTGAATTTCAAGAATTTGAAAAAAAATTATTCAGATATACATTTATTTTATCATAATCTCTAAAAAAAGATTATTATTTTTTTTCCCCAGAATTCTCCTGTTGTTGATATATCCCGACCCTCTCCTATGTATCCGGATTCTATCCCCTCTCTGATATAATCTTTCCCTCTCGTATACATCTTCCTCCACTATGTATTTGAATGTCCTATCCCTTCTCTAATACTGATTTTTTTTTTGAAAGTCCAATGATATATTCGGAAGTTCAATGATGTGTCCGGAAGTTCAGTGATGTATTCAAAATCCATAAATTTTGAAGGACTTTTGTAATTTGTAAAAGAGTAGGGAAATAATGTAATTAACTCTTAACACTAAGGAATTTATGTAAATTATACAAAAAAAAAAGATACTTTCACTCAGAAACTTTAACATTTTTTCCCAATTAATTACGTATACCAAACACAACTTTAAGTTTCAAAAATCACAACTTCAAAACTTAATCTTTCAAGTTTCAACCAAAAGCTATATATGATCAAAAGAGAGCTAAGTACTTTTTTTATACTTTAATTATGTAAAAACATCACCAGATCACTTATCAGTTATTGAATAATCATAAAGCAAAAATCCTGAAGCCGCTACATGCTATCACATAATATAGTGTATTGATAGAATGTAACATATACAAGAATATTTGAAGTCAAGTCTATTACTTTAAGGTATTAGTAATTATCTAGCTAGTATATGCCAAATCAAAGTCTTGCTTGTTACTTTTTTTATATCTATATTTTATCATAACAAAAAGCTATTGGAGAATTTATTTCTTTTGGTATATAGAGCAATTGACATACAAGAAGGAAGCTTTATTGGCCATTGAACATGGGAAATCAAAAAAAGTTCTTATAACATGCCATCAAAGCACCATTCTTGTGGTTCAAAATTGATATTATATTCATATGTTTTTTTTTTTTTTTTTTTGTCTTTCAACATTTTTCTTAAAGACTAATTAAGAAAAAAATGTATTTTTGGTCAGATTTTCTGTGCGTATGTTTTTTGACAATTCATAATAGGTCACATGCAAGGTTTTCCATGTTGAGACATTTTTATTATCACATTATTACAAAAATATTGCAAAAAGAAACATAACAACATATATTTATAATATATAGTTTTCTAAATGAATGTTTTGTTCACTTAGGAATCTTCATGAAAATGAGAAGACATGATGATTAGGTTATTGTCACTTATTGCTAATTATTTTTTTGATTAATTAACTACTCTATAAAAAAAAAGTTATTCAACCTCAAATTTAGAGTTTTATGTCAAGTTTCAAGTCTTTATTATTTATGGAATCTCAAACCCTTTTATTAGTAGTCAAAGTGGAACGAATATGGTGTCAAAATCATCATGTGTGATATTTTATCTGTCTTAATATATTTGTAAAAAAAAATCTTAGAGAATAAAATTATAAAAAATTATTTAATATTTAAGATATACAATTTTCTTTTTATCATATTAAAATAAGAAAAATCAATAAGTATAGTACTTTTATATAATTTTTAAATATTTTAATTCAATTCTTTTATCATGTGAAAATTAGTACTTTTTTCTATCTTTTTTTTTTTTGGTTAATAATGGTTATATAAACACTTGTCATGTTATCTACTCCAAGACACTAGAAGCCACATGGATGAGATAACAATTATATATAAAAGCATAAAGTTTGCAAACTGTGGAAGATTTTTTTTATAAAAAAAAAAGAGGTTTGAATTTTATAGTTTAAAAGTTGAAGGTTTATATTATTTTCTTTATTTCATATTACTTGAATTTGCGAGCTAATGTATATATATTTAAAAAAATATTTAAAAATATAATTTAAATTATAATTTACAATATTATATTTGTGAATTATAAATATAACTTTATAAATAGTGTATTTTATCTTCTAGAAAATATAAAACCTCAATATAAAAAAAATAATTAGACATATATCTTAAACCAAAAAAATCAAACATATATGTTAAACTTTGAACAATGAAAAAAGTATGAAGAATTCAATTAATATAAAAAAGCGAGGGTATAATGTATTAAAATATATTTAAAAATTTTCATATATCTTAAATACACTTTGTGAAATATTAAAATTAAATCGTTATCAAATTAGAAAAGAAATATTTTTTTAAAAATGGATTAGAAGAAAATAAGACAAATAAATTAAAATGTAAAAAACATTAATTTCGATCACTTTACTCATCTCAATTTAGAATATACTATTTGATTGGATATGTTTTTTTTTTTTGCTTTTGAAATTTACGGTCTCAAATAGTTACTAAACGTTTATATATTTATAAATTATTTTATCAAGACTTTAAATAAAGAATTTTGAAATTAAAATTCTTCAAAATATAAACATTACTTTTTATTCTAAAACTGATTAAAAAGAAAATATGGGACAACAATTGAATAAGGTGAGAACATTAATTAACTAGGACTCTTAACATATTTTCAAAGTTGAACAAATGTGATGGAGTACTGATAAATATTCTTTCATCCTTAATTAAAAATTTTGAGTTTGAGTCTCCTCGAATATGAAGAACATTTTTAAGAAACGCTTTACTTCTTAGCTCAAGTTCAGATTTGATCAAGCTTCATTATAAATATCAAATACGGTGAAAACAATAGTCAAGAAAATACGTGTTATATGGTCTTCCCATCAACAATTGTTGCAATTTCATTTGACAATCAATTACTCATCTCACATTTGATGTGATGTATACCAAATTTAAGAAGAAGAAGAAATAATTGTCCAATTTTAATTTTAAAAATTTTAAAAATTAAATTATATTAGGTTAATTAAATATTTAAAGTTTAAAACTACAAAACAATATCATGATTTACGATTTTTCTTATATCAATATTGTAAAAAATATATCTTAAAAATTTGATTGAAACTCAGATAATTTAACCTCTCAAAAACTAAAATATAAACAAGTATATTAAGATGAATGGAGTATATTTATAAGGGAGAAGGGTCAAATATGCCCCTAAACTATTTGAAAAGGTTTAGATATACCCTCTGTTTAAAGTTTGATCCATTTATACCCTCGCCGTCCAACTTTTGGTCTACATATGCCCTTTTGGGCATTAGTTGACCAACTCGAAATATCCAACTCATTTTACTTTTATTTAAATGCCAAATGAATTTTCCACGTCATTTTTATGTATTATCACTTGATATTTATATTTCAAGGAAAAAGGGTCAAATATGCCCCTGAACTATTCGAAAGGTCTAGATATACCCCCGTTTAAAGTTTTGTCAATTTATACCCTCGCGTCCAACTTTTGGTCTACATATGCCCTTATGGGTGTTAGTTGGTCAACTCGAAATATCCAACTCATTTTACTTTTCTTTAAATGTCAAATGAGATTTCACATCATTTATATATATTATCACCTGACATTTATATTAAAAGAGAAAGGGGTCACTTATGCCCTAACTATCCGACCCAATTTTAAAACACATATACGACCGTCTTTTAAATGGTTCAATTATGCCCCTAATCCGACTCATATATGTGTGAATTATTTTGTTATTTACGTCATGATCGCCTGCTGCAGATTGCAGTTGTGTCTGTAACGTTGTTGCGGTGAACTCCTCTGCTCTAGCCTTTGCCTGCCAAGTTTGCGCCTCCAGCTCTGCGTTGCGCCAAAACACTTTTCAAACCTCGACTTCCTTTTCCTTTAGTTGTCGTGCCATTGATTCCTCGGCGGTTCCAATCAGAGCATGATAGTGTTCGCCATTTAAATGGTTCAATTATGCCCTAATCCGACCCATATAGGGTATTTAAAAAAAAGGGTCGGGTTGTATAGATTATTTAAAAGACGGGTCGTATATGTGTTTTAAAATTAGGTCGGATAGTTAGGGGCATAAAAGATTCCTTTCTATTTTAATATAAATGTCAAGTAATAATATACAAAAATGATGTGGAAAATCCATTTGGCATTTAAAGAAAAGTAAAATGAGTTGGATATTTCGAATTGACCAACTAACACCCATAAGGGCATATGTAGACCAAAAGTTTGGACGCGAGAGTATAAATTGACCAAACTTTAAACGGAGGTATATCTAGACCTTTCGAATATATATATATATATATATATATATATATATTGATGATATTAAACAGTAAACGTGCATCAATAGTTGAAACATGGAATAATAAAAGTAACGAAGGATATAGCCACTTGTAAATAGTGATCTTTTGGAGGTACAAGTGTTTTTTTCTTAAAACTTTGTATAAATTGTTTCATTAAAAATTAAATTAAATTTTTAAAATTAAATTATTAGTAAATATGAAAACTATAATTTTGTAAAGTGTCAAATAAATCAATATAGAGAAGAAATAATTATTTGTACAGGTCAGAGATGGTCTGTCTTGTCCTATATATACTTGCCTAGTTGACTGTGAAATACTTCTCCATACTTACATTCCTATCTATAAAAAAAATTTAAAAAACATTTTTAAACGAAAGTTTTGACGTAACAATTAAAGTTATTGATCATAATAAGATTTAAGAATTTAAATCGTGAAAATAATTTTTATTAAAATGCTAAGTAAAAATATGTCTATAATAGATTTATTGCAATTGACCCCTCTTATGTACTTCGCGCATAACAAGAGAGGCGCGAGAGCTAAAGTACACCGAGTTGTCTTTTTGCTAAAGATAAAAGAAATACCAATGCTGCATTTTTGGTGTATGACTGGTTCTATTTATGTTTTGAATTATTTTACCAAACAAAGTCTTTGGCGTAACGATAAAATTTATCATTTTGTTAAGATCATGAATTTAATACACCGTGAAAATAACGATCCTACATATGTTATGCAAAATTATGTACAATAAATTTAATGTGATTCATTTTTTTTTGGACCTCACTCATAGCGACGGTGCTTATGCATATTGAATTGTCTTTATTGAAGATTTAAAAAATCAACAAAGCTTTTGGGCGGAAGGGTAAGTATTCACTTATCCTTAATCAGAGAACTTGAGATCAACCCTGCTGAGCATACAATTGTCTTTGTTAGAGAGCGTTTAAACCCTAAAACATGAACTTTTTAAGGTGAATTCACACTTAATACTGAAAACACAAAATGTGAAATCAAAAGAAGATATGATCGAGAGATTGCTCGGGTGGTATATAAGCACTCTCCACCTCTAATCCTAACGTCATCGATTCCATTAACCAAGGGAACAAAAAGTCGGGAGGGGTAAAGATAAACTGAAAGCAAATTTAACCAGACGTCAATGTAGATACTGGTCATCAAATGTGAAACAAAAAAAAAGACAAAAAGGGGTTTCTCATGTGGTAAGCATCATCCACCTCCGATCTTAGTCAAGAGTTCGAGTAACCAAGAGAGTAAAAAGATAGAAACTCAAAAGGGGTAAACAAATAAAAACAAAAGTGATAAAAAAAAATCAATGGCAACATATTTGGTTTTTAGCTAAGGAGGTGAGTGTGGTCCAATTCTAGTGTTTTTAGGTGGGATGACATAAGTAGGGCATATGACCAATGGATGAAAGAACAAAAGAGACTCAAGCTCTTGTATACAAGACTAATCACAAAAATCAACATTCAATACCTATATTTATTTTCTTCCCTTCACACAACACACCATGTGCTATTGTTTTTGACACTCTCCCCATAAATACTTTCCTTTCCCTAATTCCAATTCCACACACAAAACTCAAAAACATTCAAATATTCAAACCACACCTCAAAGTCACCAATATTCCTTTCTAAAATTCCCAAATCTCCTCATAAACAAAATAAAAAAATGGCTCTAAAGAAATCAAGCAAACACATAACTCAAAGTATAGCCCTAAAACAAATCTTGAAAAGATGTTCAAGTTTTGGAAAAAATGAGAATGGACTTCCTTATGATGTACCAAAAGGCCACTTTGTAGTATATGTTGGTGAAAATAGAAGTAGATACATAATTCCAATTTCTTGGTTGACACATCCTGAATTTCAAACTTTGCTTCAAAGGGCTGAAGAAGAATTTGGATTCAATCATGATATGGGACTTACAATCCCTTGTGATGAAGAAGATTTTTGTTCTCTAATGTCAATGTAAAACCGCGTACAAAAAGGCATAAACGTGGTCCCATCCATTCTTTGAAATACGCACAACTAGAACTTACTGCATCAGACTGCCCTTTAAATCAGCGAGACATTTTACTATGGAGCAGCTAGATTAGGCCATTTTTAAGTGAAAATAGTTGAATTGAATTGTTTTTTTTTTTAAACTTGTCATAAAGAAATCCCTTCTAATTAACTTTTTGTGGGATTGAGTTTGTACAATCTCATGTGTTACTAAATATTTTGACAAGTGGTGTTATATTTGCACCCATTTATAAATCTTGATGTTACTATTCATGAGCAAAAAAGAGAATATCCACAACATTTTTCAAATTAATATGCATCGTCAATATAAAAAATAAAATTCACTATCAAAATATTGGCGATGTAAAAATAGTGCAAAACTTTAAGTTTGAGTTGAAGACATAACTTTCAATGTTCATGATATAAGATAAAATTAATTTTTGAAAACTCTTGGAAGATGACTCATTGATCAACTTGACTATGGTAACCATCACACACAGAGCTAGACGTATACTTAATTATTTTACTTGAATTTAATATTTTCAATATGAAAAAGATACGTATCGCTTTTTTTTAAAGAAAAAAGTACTTTAATATTAGCGAATCAAATTTTGAATCGATAATTTTAAAAGTAAAATACATTTATAGCAATAACATTGAAGAATGAATTTATTTAACTTAAATTCTAAATTTGTCTTCTGATATTAGTTATCAAAGGTAGATACTAACTATTTAAATATCTTGGTGAACACTCGAGATGCTTAATTATAGGTCAAGTAAATAAATAGTCATAATCACTTTTAGTTTGATAGTGTTTTAAATGTCTTTTTTATTGTTACAAATATTTCTATATGAAATATTAGGGCATTTAGTCATTTATCAAAAGAACAACCTATCATTCTTTTTAGAAAAAGGTCTGAAAAATATTCAAATTTTGATCAAAATTATTGTAACGATATCAAACTTTGAAAAGGACTTTTTACTCCTGCACTATTTAATAGTGTATTTTAAAGATATATATATGCTCACGTGGACGTAAAAAATATTGCATAATTATAGATAGTAATGTGTCCACGTAGGCATATATATATATATATACTTTTAAAATACATTGTTAAATAGTGCAAGGATAAAAGGTCTTTAATAAAGTTTGATATCGTAATTACAATTTCAGTCAATATTAGAGTATATTCAGACTATTTTTCCTTTTTTTTAACCAAATTCTTAAAAGGTTCTTATTATTAGTTTTGATATTTTTATCAAAACACGTAATATAATTACTTATTTATAAAACTAATTTTCTATTGTTGGAAAAAAATCATCTAACTATTTTTAAAAAGGGGGAATTTAATGAGAAAATAAAATAAAAAAATGGCATAAGCATCTATTGTGAAGTAGTTTGGGAGTAGTTTGGGAGCATTATTAGTGAACTTGTCCTATACGCGATACGAATTTAACCAAAACTTTGATATATATACAAACTTTGAACATCGAATAGAAAAAAAATATATTGTTTATATCTTAGCGTTGATTGACAAGTTAATGCCATTGAATGTGGAGAATATTTTTGCTTAAATTTTGGTTACAAATAGGACCCTTATTTGCCTTTGCTTAATTGACGGCCAAACTAACTTATTTTGAAAAAATATTTTTCTTTTATAGGAAAGAAAAAGTATTTTTCGAGAGTAGTTATTTGTATTTGACTAATTATTTTGAAAAAATTACTTTTGTTATTTTAATTTGATTGTCTTTGTTTTCACTTAACGCATAGTTTAGAAAAGTTTTATTTTTTAACCTTGTCATCTTAAATTAAATACATAGTATCAAAATATTTTTTAATTTTATAGTATTAAATAAACATTCTTTTTTAAACAGACATGAAAAGAAAACAGAACAAACTGAACGATTCATGATTAAGTAATACTAGTGTCAATGATGTAATCAAGTACTAATTGTTTTGATTGAATTAAATGATAATTTGACCATATGTTGAACACACATTATTTTGAGCACATGACCCTTGTGACTTAATTAGCTCCTAATCAATTCTTATTCAATGATATATAATTTAAAACAATATAGTTAAACATTGACATTTCCTTAATCTCTAGGTTTGATTTGATACAATATATTTTTCAAAAAAAAATAATAATAATTAAAAAATTCTCATCTAAAATAATTCTTAGTATTTGATTTTGCTAAATTTTTATTAGGTTGTTCACAAGCCCAATCAACATATGCACATCTTTTTAAAAGTAAAATATTTTCATTATAATATATCGAATAATTTGCCCTTTTTTTCAAGTATTAAATTACTTTCAAGGATTAAATTGATACCTATCAATCAAATTTAATTCAAATAACTTTATATTGAAGATAATAACAAGGCATTCGATTCGAAACCTATTGTTAGATTAATAGGATTAGGATAATAATATCGAAATAAGATGCGAGCTTATGTTATCCCGCTTTTGATTATGAACATTAAATAATTCAAAAACTATTCTATTTTTATTAAAATGATGGAATTAGTTATTCTAAACTTTTTGGCTAAAAATTATCATAATGTAAAATTAGGAAGATATTATAAACATATGAATATAACAAGGGACAAGATTCAGTACTAACGTACAATAAAACAGTAGTATGGGGACAAACATTGAGTATATATCACAAGTCATGCACTAGCAACCTCATAATTTTAGATTTTTAAAGACAATAACGGACCCTTTCTCAAGATTATTTTCTTTGCCTCTTCCTTCGCTGTTCGATATTCGATATGTATTATTAAATTTAGATTTACGCTCGGAAGTCACATGTTAGGGAGTAAAGTTGTAGGGTTTTGTTCTGATTTTAATTCTTTTTCTCGAAGAAACGTTAAAATATTACTTTTGTCGAAAGAAAATTTGAATTTTTTCCTTTCATATTTGAGTTATTTTCCTTCGTGGGAAAAAGGTTTGTAAATCTATATATTGAAGATCTTTGTTCTTATATTACAATACAATAACATCGACAATACAGACGTTTAACAGTTTAGTTTATGGGGAGATTATTGTGGGTTGTTTAACCAAATCCTTTTACTAATATGTTTTTATTTGTCATCTGATTGCGATTATAAGTTTTCGCATGACGCATTGATTCGTTTCGAGCCCAACATAAATTAATCTCTAACAAAAACGATTTCTTATTTAGTAGGATTCAAACTCAAAATTTTTTATAAAGAATAAATGAGAATTTATCACTCTATCACGACCATCATCGATTTTCCTTTCTTTTTCAAACATTTAACATGGAGAGAAACAATAGACTTTAAAAAAACATATTTGAAAGTTAATTAATATTGAACAAAGTGAACTGGTCCACACATTTATGTGTGGATGAAACTGTTCAAAATTGTTGTTATTAGTCTTTTTCATTTAGGTTTAATGTTAAGTTAATTTAGGATTAGAGAAAAGACAAAATATAGGATTATAATCACTAGTTTTAAACCTTTGTCTTGTTGTCTAATGCATCTATATTTCTATTTGTGTATCTCATTGGCAGCCTCAATATTTGTCCCCTCTTGTTTTCCTACCACACAATATTATCCAACTTGCTAAATTTAATATGAGGGGAAGAGTCAAAATTTGGTGAACTATCATAAATTTGAGTAAATTTATTTCTTGAAGAATAGTTTTTCCAAAAAAAAAAATAATTTTTGATTGGTAAAAGAATTTTGCAAATATTTTTTCTATAAGAAAAATAAGTTACCTAAAAATAAGTAAAATAACTTCTTCAGTAAAAAATAGGAAAAACAAATTTCATAATTGACTTTGTCCACCTCTTTTTCGTAAATACATGATCATTTTTATTCTCACCATCGCCGCCTCCATCTCCACTTTCTATAATATAAAATGTGTTTGGCGTGAGAAAAATGGTTTTTCATAGAAATTGTTTTCTTGAAAAAATTGTCAAAGAAAATTGAGTTTTTTACTTATTTTTTTGTGATCGGTATAAAGTATTATTCTAAAAGTATTGTATATAATCTAGACAAATATCATGCGAGGTGATAGTGGGAGTTGGGGGTGATGGGGATACGGGATATAAGGGTGGGGTGAAGATGAGGTGTGTTGAAGGGTCGCAAGGACAGAATCAATGTGAAATGTCACTTGTGAAACTCGTCCCCTACTTCTATTAAGGAAGTCATTTTCCTCATTTTTCACGAGCTTGTTTTTCTACATAAATTGTTTTCCAAAATTTATGACCAAACAAATATGAAAATATTAGAATAGAGAATGTTTTTTCCATACCAAACACACCTTTTATAAAAAATTTGTTTACATGCTGAAAATCATATTTTTCTTCGTACCGAACAAGTCTTTATTACCTATTAGAGCTCCAATTAATTTTAAATTATAATTAAAAGTTGAGGGATACATTATACTTATAATAGATCTGATTTCTAATTTCAGAACTTGAGAACTCTCGAGGATCTAAAGTTTCGAATTTCTTTTTATTATTAACTTCTTTATTCGTGCATTTTTATTCTTCATTTAATTAATTTTTAAAGTTAAATTAGATTACATTAATTTAATATTTTAAACAAAAAAATTAGATATTCAAAACTATATCAAAAGTACTATAAATTACAATTTCTTACATATCAATATGATAAAAAATATATATATCGTAAAATTTTAGTCAAATTTTTTATAATTCAACTCTGAAAAAGAAAATTATGATAATTCAAAATGAACAGAGATAGTAAGTTATTATTTATTATACTTAGGTCTTAAACTAGTTGACTAAATACACTTGACCTCAATTGAATTGTTTGATTTTGGTCGAATCATTGATTTAACTTAGTGATGTTATATTTGTCATCCGATTAAATCAAATAAATATTGCATGATAGGAGAGAAAAGACAATTATTCAAACTTGGGGGAAATTATATTATTAATATTGTGTCTACCATTTGAATTATATACAACACATTTATTTTATCTTTGTCATTTTTGTCTGAAAGCTAAACTTTATTGTTGACTCTAAGAAAATAATTCTCCAGAGTAACAATACCAAATATATAAATTTTTTTAAAAAAAAGTATATATATTTGAAAGACTCTTCTTTGGGGTCTTTCGACTCTGAATTATTGACAATCTTAAATACACTCCTATCTTGTACTTGACTGACTAAATTAAGATATACCCCAATCGCCAGTCGATCACATGACATAGTAAATGGTCTCAAACTCATGTAGAAGCATGAAACTCTTAATAAAAAGATGAAAGAAGTGTTAAAAGAACCCCTAAACTTGACGAAAATTTGAGGATGTATTTAAGTTCAATTAGTCAAATAAGAAGCCTTTTTTGAGACTGTCAATCATATAGAAATTAAACTGATAATCCACACCGAATTTAGAAATATTTGAACTCTCTTTAAAGAAAATAGAAAAGCTGAATATGATCTTCCTTTAGCGTGTAGATTGGTTATGAGGAAAATTCATCAATCATGTTATTGACAATATATAATCATGTCATTTTAACTTAAAAGCTTAATTAACTGATATTTATATCCTCCAACTTACTATATAAAAGTTCCACATTAGAAATAAAACGATCCCTCCAAAACTTCTAATTAAAGATGAAAAGAAGCACTTAAAAATCATGTAGTATTCCTAACAAAAGGAATACTACAACATTCTAGTGAAATTCAATGGATACCAACATCGATTGCAATAAGAACTAACCACAAGAAGCTGCCTTCCTAAACAGACCATTTCCTTTAGTATCTCTAAGAATAACCATATCCAGGCTAGATGGTTTCTTCCCATCTATTCTAGTCTTGGTGAACATTACCTAGTACATGTTGCTGGTGGAGGTGCCAAATAATCTGTGAAATTAATCGAGGTACGTGTAAGTTGGCCTCGAACCTACAGTTATCAAAAATAAAAAACATATCTAAGCTACACATTGTCCCAATGAAATACACATTGCAAGAAAGACCGGTAAACATCCTTGTATGTTGTATTCCGAAAATCACTTGCTTATATCTAGTCATAACTGAAATAAATAGCCAATTATAAGAAAAAGTTCAGAGATACAAAGCTTCTAACGCACCATTACAATGAATTTACGAACTCAAAAACCAGAGACCAACCGATGCAGGGAGATCATCTTCTCACAGGAGGCACAACACCTCGACCAGGTGCTGCTCCACGACCTGCAGCCTGAGCCTGCAAATAAGTTCATAATCAGGCATGTCTTTTTTGCTAGCTAAAAACACAATTGTTGGAAAGTGAAAATATTAGTAAAATTAGAAACGACACTGACCTTAGCTCGCATGGCCATAGCACGTCCCCGTCCAACACCGAGTGATGAACCTTTGCCCTACAATAAATAAAATCAAACAAAGGTCAAAGCATTTCATCAAAACAGATAAATGAATATAGGTAACAGCTAAAGGTGTACCTTGATTCTGGATTCTAGCCGCTTGAACATGGGAGCATTCTTAAGCATATCAGGAATTATCATGAACCTGGCGGAAACTAAATTTTAGCTATGATCTTGCCTGAAGCAGCACATAATTATGGAAAAGGAGGACCACATACCTGACTTTGCTGCCTCGAATAAAAACGTGTTCCAGTTGTGACACCCTTCCATCCTGCATTAACCCACTTTAACAATTAGTGTCACCAATAGTGAATATTAAAAGTAGGAATTTACAATACATTTCTTTTTCCATGAATAACAAAACAGGAACCAAATATTGTAGCTACGAAGGTGCACGATTCATTGAACACCAAGCACCCAACAGCAAGCCAGGCATCATCATTAATGTGCCTAGCAGAGTGGGGGTGCATATCCCCAAAAATTGCACACTGGGGCAAAAGATCAGAAAGATTTGTGTGGTTTATTCATTTGACACAAAAATTTCTATGCTGATGCATTTTCCAGTCACTAATGATAAATTATCAAGGACATGCATTGTAGTGCAGGACAAACTCAGCTTAGTAGTATCATCATTCTTGTATATCTCCTAATATATTAGGCAAATAGGGTTTCTTGTACTTCGATTATCACACTATTTTCTTGTAGTTATTGTTCCTTTTTCAAAATGATTTGTCATGCTTTCTATACTCTTTTGCCATGGTTTCTTCACTTCCATTATTTTTTTTAATATACTTGGATATGATTTTCCTTGAACCGATGGCCTTTGGAAATAGAATCTCTACAAGGTTTGGGTACACTCTACCCTCCCTGACCCCACTTGTCGCATTACACTAGGTATGTTGTTGTAAATATGGTAAATAGAATCCCACTAAAACAGAAATGTAGAATAAAAAAAGGGAAACTAGAGAAAATACAAAAAGAGAGACACAAAACCAACAGAAAACATAAGCTGAAAGAAACTACAAACACTAAATATCCTCCTGTTTGCAATTCTACCACCAGCACTAGACACCTGTTCTGGTATTTTATATCATAAAGCTCAATATCATAAAAAGAAAAATGGAACAGAAACATCCTGCCAAACAAACGCTACTAATGTTTTCTCTATTTTTGCGTACACATGGATGAGCAAGCTTCAATTTAAACCATGTAAACATAAGTGACCACACCACACACATGCACTCTCTGTATATGAGATCATACTAATGCTTGTGACATATTACATGATCATTGCTTGATATTGATAGGGATACTACTTCCACATTTTGCAGCCCCATATAAATTAATATTTTTAAAATTAACAGTGACTGTTTTGAAAAGTGAAAGGGGACTTATAATCCACTGGGCCAAAGCAAAAAGCATAAAGAGATGCACACTTCTTCAAAGTAAGCACACGATTACAGAAACTTAAAAATTAGCAATCTTATATGAATTTAGTGGTGTAAATGTAATAACCAGAATTGCAATTAAAACAATTAGTTCACCATCTAATAGAAAAAATTGTTGATATTTGTCAGACTCCTAGAAGTTGAAATTCAAAAAACCCACCATTTTCTTAGGATCACTCTGTGCATCATTGTTAACCATTTTCCCTTGATCACCTTGCTGACATAATCGCTCATCAATTCCCTTTACCTAATATTGTCAACTCTTATTCAATAAGGCAAGCAGTCTACCTTAAATGTGTCTATGCTCAATCAGTAGATTAAATCTAGAGAAAGTTACACCTTTCTTGAGACAGATATATTTAGATCTCCACCTATCAGTCCTATTCTTTTCAGCTCATCAATCTAGGATGACAATGTGACACAAAAGCAGGTTTGGATAATGAACAGATAAATTTCCACTTAAAAGGTTTTAGCCAACACTTGGTTGCATTAAATCATTACATATGAACTTCAACTACAAAAACTCTTGAAACTTACTCAACCATTGAAGAATTGAAGTTGGAGCACCATAACAATTTAAAGGACCGAACATTAACTTCTTCAACGACAAAGAAGCACACAAAGACGGACCTAAAGGTGTAACCTAATAGTTAATGAAGTGGGAGGAGAACCATGACGATCTGGTTCCAATGCAAACTAAATAAAAAACACACTAGGTAATTCATTTTCATCTTCCTAAGCCTTAGTGGACAAAGTTATTTGGTACCTAATTGGTTGGAGGTAGCATGTACCTGCTGGATTAGTCGAGGTGCACCTAAATTGACTCGGAAACCACCTTTACCAAAAATAAGCAATTAAGCTACTTAGAATACTGTCCAGAACTTCATATTTCATGGTGCGATAATTTTGTACCTTCGCTTCCATTACTTCAAAAATGGAAATTTCGAATCATAAACAGAGCAAAAGGATCCCAAGGCTCAATTTTTCAGGCTATTAGCCATAAGAGATAAACAAATAAGCAAAAAATAATACAATTTTACATTTGTTTTTAGATTGTTTTTGTATAATTTGATACCAAAACTTAGGGTTTAAGATTTAGGGTTTGAGGAATACGGCGGAAATCAAATCAATGAATTAAAAAAGTAGAAAAACCTTACTTTGGCAGTGTAAGTTATGCTTTCGAGCTGACAATTCCAGTTATCCTCGCACTCAACCATACTTCCTCTGTAAAGCTCACCGCTCTTCATTTCAACGGTTACTATGTGCCCTGTTGCTTCGTGTAGAAGCTTCACCGGAATCCCCAAGCTACGACTCATCGTTATTATCCTTCTAGAACCTTCTCTTCTTCTCTGCTAAACCTAATGGTTGTTTTCCGGCGAGTTGCTCGTCGAAACTCGTAACGCTAAATACCGGTTCAAAATGAAGTACTTATAAAAGGTGACATGTGACTTTTTGCCCCCCCAAAGTTTATGTATGTTCATTTTGGTCCAAAACATATTTACTTAATTAAAAATGAACATTAATGTATAACAAAAGGTGTTCATCACCATCTTTTATTGTAAACTTAATAAATTTATCAAAAATAAATGTTAAATTAATTGTGAACCCTATAGCTAACAAAAATTTACCATTAATGTCTTCTTTATTAAATTCAAAGAAAAACTCGATAAATCTAACACAATTTTCTCTAATAAATATTTTCATTTTTTCTTGCTTAAAACAGAAATGGACATTACATCAGTAGAATAATATTTTAGAAAGGAAAATATAATAAATTTTCTTGGAAAAACTAGAGAAATATGGTGTTAGATTTTATGGAGCCTATCTTTGGAGCTAATAAAGAAAGACAATAATAAATTTTGTTAACAATGTAAATTCGTAATAAAATTCAACACTTTTTCTAAATAAATCAGTTGGATTTAGGATAAAGGATCAAAATGAACACATTCATCAAACATTACGAATCATGCTAATCAAGTGATATATATCAAGAAGCAAAATGAACATTTTTTTTATACGATCAACATAAAGTTTAATTATACATTAAGGGCTATTTGATTTTTTTGTTATACTATTCTTATTTATTGATAGGTAGTATTTGGTCTTTAATAATAATTTGAGAAATAAGTAACTAATAGTAATGATAAAAAATGAAGACAAAAAAATATTTTTTCTTGATATATTAAAATGATAAATAAAATAAAATTTTTATTTTAAAAAAATTGACAAATAAAAATAAATATATGTAATATTATACATATATGATTTGGACAAAAATTACTAATACACATGATATGCAATGTTAAGGCTAGATTCACCTCTTTCAAGAAAATTAAAAGTTTTATAATATATTTTTTTAATTTAGGATGTGTTTAACCATGAAAAATTGTGAACATTAAAAGAAGAAAAAAAATAGTATTTCATTTTAAATTATTATATTTGTAATTTCAAATTGTATTTAGTGTGAAAATAATTTTTTGATATTTTGAAAAATTCATAATTCAACTTCAAGCTGAAGTTAGTCCTGAGGGGTAGCTCGGCTGGTAAAGGCCTGAGGACAAAGTCCTTCATATCGCTAGTTCAAGCCTTAGCAGGGCCACTGTAGGCATTACAAACCAGCCGCGTCTCCAGGGCTCCGTGAAACTAACCGTGGTAAACCCGCCTTGAAACAACAGAACCCGATGGGTATAGCTAGTCGTGTTCGTAAAGCTATACTCGAAAATCACGGCCAAAAAAAAAACTTTAAGTTGAAGTTCATGATTATTATAGTCAAACATGTTATTTGGAGTTGAACTCCAGAAAAAAAAAAAAAACATGATCAAATACCTGCATAGAGTTTCCCCCGAGATTATTTTTCTACAATTCTATATTTAAATTAAATATAATAAACCAGTTAAAACGAAAGGAGAAATATTGAACTATAGTTATTTAATAAGATATGATATTAATATTGCACTTTAGAAAAACTTAATACATATAATACCAAGCTAAGATGTCTAGAAAATGCACTGTGTCAATGAACGAACAGTCGAATACATTTACTAAAAAAAAGATAAGTGCAATATAGTCAAAGTGAGGATAACTATCTAAGCTACCATCAAAGTATATATCTTTTTAAAATTCGTAATTCAAAATAACTTTAATCTTATTCATCTTGTAATTCAAGATTTATTTATACCTCAATCAGATTTGTATTTTTCTTAAAGTCTTTTGGTGTGTTAAAATTAGTATATAATAAAATAAGGTATATAAATTTTTTTGAGAATTCAAAAAAAATATCATGACAAAACGAAAGGTGTATCATTACAATAGGTGTTTAGGGACACTTCTTGCTTATAAAAATTAAGGCATATACAAATTTGGGCCGCAAAGTTCAATCAAGAATAAATTTTGTGTACATTTTTTGTTAAAAAAATTAGAAAAAATAACTTAAATACACAACTATAATTTTTATATTCTCCAATTTTCCTTACTTTTTTTAAATATTACATAATTTCTTTTTTTTTATTTTAGTGTAAGTTTTTAGATACATTACATTCTCTCTCTTATAATACACGTTTACCCATTTTAATGCCTATTTTTTCTCCATTAAAACACTCTACCTCTTAAATCAGTTTTTGAATTTTAAATTTTATTCATTTAAACACTCAACCTTTTAATCAGCTTTATGATTTTGAATTTTTAAATTTAATTAATTTTAATTAAAAGACCAAATTTTGAAATTTTGAATTTCAAAATTTAAAAAAGTAAAAATATCAGGAAGCAGGACAACTTCCATTAACTTCTACCGTCTTCTTCTTACTCCATCAAATTTCAATTCTTTTTTTCCTTAATCATCTTCATTCATCTTAATACTCATTACATTTTTTTCTTTTCTTCTTTGCAAGATTCTTTCATAAATTAATTATTGGATTTACTACCTCTCTCGTTGATAAGTGCAAGCAAGCCTCGAATCCTCACTTTCATTCTTTAGCTCTATTATGGTAAATTCCCACATTGGAAAGAAAATAGGAAAAAGTTTTTTCATGATCCTATGAATCTTCAGAAGGATTCAAACAAAGACTCTGGCGAAATATCAAAATCAAAGGTTGTCAAAATACAAACAAAAAAAAGAAAAAAAAAGCAGCAAACATTGTTGTTAGGCCTACATTGTCTCAGGTTAGTATTTTGGTACTTAAAACTGTTGTTGAAATTAGTAAAAATTTTAAGGAATCTAGTGTGCTTGCCGATACATTTGAATAAGTGTGTATAGTGTTTTAGAGGTGAATTGATACATGAATTTGTTGTGTATCATAATATTTTATATGTATCATGAAGTTTTGAAAATTGTTGTAATGTATCATTCAATAAGTTTCGTAAATGCGTCATCAACTGTGCTTGATGATACATATAGAATCAGTGTGTACAGTGTTTAGTCAATTCACTGATACATGTAGTAGATATGTATCACATGTTTTGCATATAGTATGAATTTCTGAAAACTGATATCATGTATCAGTAAGGTATTAGTTGTTTAGTTGATGTACTGATACATGTTTGAAAATTGTTATAATGTATCATTCACTAAGTTTAATAAATGTGTCATTAACTGTACTTGATGATACATATAGAATCAGTGTGTATATTGTTTAGTCGATGTTTCTCATACATGTATTAGATATGAAATTAAATCTCCAACAACGATTCCATTGATTTTGTAACTTTCATACTGCAATTCGTTCACCCAAATTCCGGAATGTCTCATCAAAATCGAAGTATTCATCTTGAAAAATCCACTGTAACAACAATAAAATTATTGTAGTTCGAAATTTAACAGATTGTTCAAAAAAATTGTTTTCAAAATAGATGACATAATCTTTGTTTTTCAAAATTTGAAATTAATATCCAATTAAGTGCTGATTTTATGCTGATTAATGATATGTTACCGTAAATTTAGCTGTTTTATTAACAACATTAACTGTACTGTTTTTCCCCCTTTTTTTTCTCAACAGTTTAAAATTACCATGTATCATTTACCATGTATCACTAAAGTCTAAAGTATCACGACTCAACAAATTTAAGGAATTTTTTGTAAATACTAAATTTGTCGGGACAAAATGAAATTATTGAATTACACTATGGGATTCTTTAAATTTTTACAAAAAATTAATCATTATAATAAAAAGTAAGATATCAAGAAAAAGTTACTTTGTTGTTTTACATTTTCTTTCTTAGCAATCATATCATTTATCATCTTCTTTTATTTTAACTCCTATTATACTTTTTTTTTTAAAAAAAATTGAAGAAAATGGTCTAAAGCCCTCTCAAGATATACACGAAATTTTAACTACACATTTCAATTTTACGGGGGTCTTATTATCCTCTGAACTTTCTATTTTCTCTATTTTCTACACACTTAAACGCTGACCACAATACATAAATCAAACAAATATTTCAACGTGATAGCACGTACCGGGTCCCCCACTTTTCAACTCCCAATTTCGTTTTTTTCCCATTTCTTTCCTAAAACGTAAAAACCCATAAAAATTATTCTTTATCTTTTTCATCTCCTTCTCCATTTGCAGATGCAATTTTGTTGATGATAGAAGGAATTATTGTGTATTTTTAACTTGATTTCGAGGTTTATCAACTGATTTAGTAAAAGTTTAGTTTTTTATCCCTTTTTTCGAGTTTTTATTTTATTCCTTAGAGTTTCTGTTGATTCGTGAAATTAAGAACAACATTGGGTCTGATTCATCCATACAAAGCTTATTCAATCGTTGGAGAAAGAGAAAATTTTTGTCAAAATTTAAGGTGTTCTCACCTTCTAACGCGCCTCGAAGAGGTGTTCTCACCTCCTATGACAAGTTAGTGTTTAAGTGTGTAGAAAATAGAGCAAAGTGAAGTTTAGGGGGTAATAGGACAATTGTGAAGTTGGAGTGTGTAGTTGAAATTTCAGGTATAGTTTGAAGGGGTTTTAGACCATTTTCTCAAATTTTTGATAAGTTATTATAATACATTATCAAAAATATGAATTAATAGTTAAAATGCATTGATTGACGCAAAATATAAATTCTTTATATTTTCTATTATTACAAAAAATATCAATAAGGCATAACAAGCTATCAACATCTTGAATTAGATACTATAATTCTAACTCTTATCTTTATTTAAAGAAATAATACATTAAGATGTCTTTTAACTTGACTTCAAATCACATTCATGCCCTTCATCTTTGGGTGTGCATAAGTAGACGCTTTAACTTGTATAAAGTTGAACAAATAGACACGCATGTCTTACATGACATCCTATATGTCATTTTTTGTCCTACGTGTGTCGTGTCACGTAGTACTCATGTATCTACTTGTTCAAATTTATACAAGTTTAAGTCTCTATTTATGCATATTCAAAATTAAAGGATATAAATATGAAAT